ACATTGTTCCAGGTGCTGACAATATAACAGTGAATGAAACAGGAAAAGTTTCTATGCTCATAAACTTGTATTCTGATGAAGACAATAAAATAAACAAATATGCCACCTAAAGATGATTTCAGTTGATGGCAAGTCCTAGGAAGGATGTTTAGTACATTTTAAAATGTTTGGGCCATGGTAGGGGCATTAGATTTCATTTTATATGTTATAGAAACTTCCTTGGAGCCGGGCAGTCGGTGGCGCATGCCTTTAATCCCAGCACTCAGGAGGCAGAGTCAGGAGGATCTCTGTGAGTTTGAGGCCAGCCTGGTCTACAGAGCGAGATCCAGGACAGGCACCAAAACTACATGGATAAACCCTGTCTCGAAAAACCAAAAAACAAAACAAAACAAACAAACAAAAACTTCCTTGGAGAATTTTGAACAAGCTCAATCTTTTACTTTAGAACAGTGTAGGGAGCAGAATAAGGGAAGGAAAAAGTGGAAGCAAAGAAAACATTTGGGAGGCTATTGCAGAAATCAAGGTAATGAAGAATGACAACAGCTGGGCGGTGGTGTACATGCCTTTAATCCCAGCACTCAGGAGGTAGAGGCAGGCAGATCTCTGTGAGTTTGAGGTCAGCCTGGTCTACCAAGTGAGTTCGAGGACAAGCTTCAAAAGCTACACAGAGAAACCCTGTCTCGAGAAAAAAAAGAAAAAAGAAAAAAGAAAAAAAAGAATGACAACAGTCACAGGAGCTGTAACAATTTCTCATATTTGAAACACACTAAAATAAAACTAATGCAAGAGGCTGGTATGGTGGTTTCGGTGGTGTACTGGAGGAAAAAAGAGGAGCTTTTTGGAAACAGATCCAATACAATTGGGTCAAGCTGTCTGCTAGGGTTTGACGTACAGAGCGGAGGGGGTTCCAGGGTCTTCATGGTATTACCTATGTGCCATCACGTGGATGGCTTCTGAGAAGAAGCTTCACAACTGAGTCCTAGGGTAATCTAAATGATCAAATATGCCAAGTACTGCTGACAGACGAAGTACAGTGAGGACTGGAAATAACATTGGAAGTCTCTGGTGCAGAACATGTTGGTGTCAGGAGAAAAACTTGATTCAGGCATGCTAAAAACGGATGGATTTCTTCAACAAATTATTAATGGAGGGGCAAGATGGGGGGGAATGTAAAGATTACAAGCCAATTAAAAGACATTAGTAGTTTGAAAAGGGTAGCTCTTAATTGGAACCAGAGACAATCTGAATCAAAATATTGATGTGGTAGTTGATTATAAAAAGTGGAAAAATCTTTTTTCTTTCTCTTTCTTTTCCTTCTTTCCTTTCTGAGACAAGTTCTCACACAGCCTAAGCTGGCTTTGAACTATGTAGCTGAAGATAACCTTGAATTTCTGAACTTTGGATCCTTCTGTTTTGACCCCCTAGGTGCTGAGGTTACAGGCATGGGCCATCATGTCTGGCTTATGTAGTGCTGGGGACAGACCCCACAGTTTCATGTATTCTAAGCAATTTCCCTACTAACTGAGCTACATCCCCAGTCCTATTAACTTATCGTTGGGTTATGGGTAATCTTGGTGATTAACTTGATTGCATCTGAAACCAACTAAAACCCAAACTCCTGTGAGGAATTTCTTTAATCAGATTTTCAGAAGCAGGAAGCCTGCATGGCACTTTCTGGCAGCTGCCCAGATAAAAAGGACAAGAAGAAAGGAAACTGTTTTGGTTGCTTGCCCTCACTCTCAATGGCAACTTTATCTATTCTGTTGAATCATTCCTTTGCCAGTATTAGAACCAAATTTCTTTAGGATTCCCACATAGTCTGAAGACCAGCAGCTCTCCAGGTATCCTCCAGGCCTCCAGTGCCAGATGAGAGCTGCTGAGATGTTCCGCCTCTTGGACTTGAGAAGCTGCAGGATTCTCAGCCTTTCAGGCATGAGGCAGCCATTGTTATAATAACTTGAACTGCATCCTGTGAGACACTCTAATAAATCATATGTACATTCATTCTATCAGTTTTGTTCCTTTAATGACCCTGAATATACTTTCAAGAAGATAATGATTCTATGAGTGTATGAAGAAATAAAGAGCTCTTACCTTTTGGAGCTGCACACTGGACTAGAGATGAAATGATGTTCAGCATGTAACTGCTGAAGTTGATGGCGAGTAGACTGCATTTTTACTTTTATGCCTGCAATTTTCCATATATTTAAAGAAAGAAACTGGGAGATTCCTGTTTGTGAAGCAGAGCTGTTTTTATCAGAAGAACATTCTTATCTTTTAATACGCAGTGTGCATCCTTAAGACTCCCATGAATTTGGACATTTGTTAACAATTCTTGTGGGGGAAGAAAACAAACAGACAAAAAACGCCAAAAAAACCAAAACCAAAACCTTAAATGGAAAGTTTTCTTGCTGGGGCTGATGGTGCATTTCTGTACGTTCCTGAGGCTGGGAAGGGACGTGTGAGGCCAGCCTGGGCTACACAGTGAAAAACCCCCTCTCCCTCCATTTAAAAAAATTACATCAAATTAATTTTTTTCACTTGTCAATTTGTGGAAGAACTGTAATAGACATCTTTGAATTCCTAAATGAAAAGTGAATGGAGAGTGGAAACAGAGGTTTAGGATTTTATTCTTAATAAAAACAATTATCTCCATATATTTGCAAATATTTATATACATATATATGTATATCATGGAGTCTAATCTTAATTAAAAAGCATTTTTGATGGTGAGGTAGGCATTGCTGGAATATTTTAATATACTGCTTACCCGTGTTTTCTGACTTTTTCAAACGGCAAGTGGATTCCTTTTTAATTTTAAAAGTGGGGGCGGCCAGGAATGGAATTATTAGATAGCACTTTCTTTTACTGACAAAATGCGCGAAGAGGAATTCTCCCGACCTGACCTAGGAATCCTGGGGGTGGGGGGGGGTGGGGATGGGGGGGGTGGAGATGCCTGAGATAACCCCGGGCGAAGCGGGAGCCGCGGAAGTGCGCAGGCGCACTATCTTTAGGGCGGGAGCAAGACCTGTTATAGGACAGCCTTGGTAGCCAATTAAAGGCCCTCGTCAGGGGCTTCTTCCTGAGAAGGCAACCGGAACTTGTGCTTCCGCTGCGCCGAGGAAAAGTCGCTACCGGAAAAGCAAGAGCTGAGGTGAGCGGGCGGCCGCGGTCGGCGACCGCAGCCTGAGCGTCTCTCTCCGCCCCCGCGGCTGCGTCTCTCCGGGCGTGGAGCGCCGAGGCCCCGCGCGGTGCAGCCTGGGAAACCCGGGCTCGCCTTTCCCGCCCCCGCCCCCGCGTCCCTCGGCGGAGCCGGCCGGAGGCCGAAGGTGAGCCGAGTGCTCCCTCGCCGGGCTTCCCGCGAGCGGGACGGGCGGGACCGGAGGTTGGGAGGCCCGAGGTCTCGTCCCCACGCCGACGGCTTTTAAACTGCCGTGGCCTTAGCCGGGACTGTGCCCCGGCGCCACTGGTAAAATGAGACTAGCCACCTGGGAGCGCGGGGCCGGGGGGAGGCGGGAGAAAACCCCGAGCGGACCCGGGTCTCCCATCTCGCCGGCTTTCGGAGGGCGTCCCCAGTTCCAGGGGACCACGTGAACCAAGTCTCTGAGCTGGCGACGCACCCCCCCCTTATCCCCCCCCCCCCAACCCCCGAAAGCGAGCACTAGAAAGTGCGGGTTTTGCTAGTGTTCGTAAATCACGACCTCCAGCGGCTTTGGAAAGTTCGGTTTAAACCGGTGATGGGCGGATTCCGCCCTGTGGCGGGCTGTTCCCCGGGATGCTTCCGACCAAGTGAAGTATGGGGATTTGTGCTTTGGCGCAAAAGAGACAAAAAGCCCGGAGTGAGAATTCCCGTTGTACCATTTGCCAGCATTTTGATCTACTGCACCCAGTTGTGCACTTTGGGAATTGGCTTCTTGTCTCTAAAATTAAGTTGGGAATAGTTGTGTCGTTATGAAAAGTAAATGGCGGTGTAAAGGACCGTGCGGGTCACTTACTAGAAGCCTTTGGGAAACGGCGGGGTTAGTGTCGGCGTGGGGAAGGGAAGCACAGAGCCTCAATTTCAAAACCCCCCCCCGGATGAAATTTAGGCCCCGTGTCTACTTGGCTGTGGTTGCAAGAGGACATTCGTGTTTTAGGTATATACTGAAATACTTAAGGGAAGAGGAAAGAAAGAGGAAAAAAAAGCAAATAGGGTGAGGGTATGTCCAAACAGTTACAAATCTGAAGAATTTGAAGTGGCTGCCCTCAGATTTAACATACTCCAAGTGTAATACTGATGGTACAGAACTTGCCCTGGTTGATGTTGGAAGGTGGTGTAACTTGAAACTCAGATCTCAGATTAGTGTGAAAAAACACTCAGGAATCTCCTCATAGGATAATACACAGCAGAGGTTATTTTGACCATGTGTGTTGCAGTGTTGGGGTTTATGTTTTAAATTATTTAGAAAGGATATAAAGTGCTAATGTGTTAATAAAACTGTACCATATTCTTAAGATGGGGCTTCCTCCAGAAACCTTCGATAATAATACAATTATGAAATTTAACAATGCTGGGTGTTTTTTTGTTTTTTGTTTTTGTCAAAATGTTTAGAGGTTTGTTTTTTTGTTTTTGTTTTTTTTTTGGTTTTTCGAGACAGGGTAGTTTATAGTTTTTAAGTGTTTGGTTTGGGAAACTAGTGTACAATAGAAAGCAAAAGTGATTGTGATATGAGATTGATAAACACCATTAAGTAGTTTCACTGTGGGAAAGAGTAGTAAATGAGGCATATGACATTTGCATATAAATGTCCTCTTTCCCAGAGTAGGTTCCAATATAGACCTACCAAAAAAAACCAGACATGAAAAATAATGTATCATGTGCCATACAAAAGCAACCCAAATCTAGACCCCTTTCACTTAGTTTTTAGAATATATATTTTGTTCTTTGAGAATTTTATCTCTCTCTCTCTCTCTCTCTCTCTCTCTCTCTCTCTCTCTCTCTCTCTCTCTCTCACACACACACACACACACACACACACACACACACACACAGTGTTTTGATCATACCCACTCCTTCCCCTCTAATACCTTGCAGACCTGAATCACCATATCTCACTCCCAACTTCATATACTTTTAAAATATTTACTAGTTTTTAAAGATAGTATTTTTAGCACAGGCTGACTCAAAACTCATTATGTACCCTAAACTGGCCTTGAACTCACAGCTATCTTGTTTCTCAATCACTAGGATTATATCGTAAACCACTGTACCTACACAGTTTAGGTCCTTTTTCAAAATAGCAAAAAACATCTAAAAATAACAGTAAATAAAGTCCTCTGCCAAACCTGTAGTGGACTCTGCTGACCGATTCCTACTTCCAATATTTTACATTTGTCAGCTTACATAGAACACATGAGTCCTTATCCCTAGCATCCCTCTTTTCTAAACAAGCAGAACAGATGTCCTTACTCGTAATCACGTGACATCTAGCAGACAAGAGTGTCCGTTAACAGAAGAGAAAGACTTGAAGAGATTAAGATTTCCAAGTGACACTGCTCCGTGTTCTCAGAATTTCCTTCATAGAGGAAGTTTGCATACCTCAACTTGGGGTCTGTTTAGATGCTAGAGGTTGTTTCCTGGCTCTCTTTGTGGTCATCTTCATTGCGGTGAACATGATGACTACAGCAGTTAAGTTGGACTCAGGTAAGCAAGCAACAGGCTATCTGATGAAAGCCTGCAGTCCTTTGGGTGAATAGAGAATCAAGAGCTAGGAGACAGCAGGCCATGGGACCAGAGCTGGTATTGTGAAGAGGATGTAGTACCTGAGGAGTCAGTGACTAAGGAGGTTTAAATGGGATGATGTAAGGTGATTCTGCAGTAAAAATGAACTCGCCAGTGTCCACTGTCAGTTACAGAACCTGCCTTCATACTGGAAACCTTTAGAATCGTAACCCTGGTGCTCTCATTAGGGCAGACCTTTCTGGAAGACAGAAGTCTTTGGAATGTAGCTTTCTGCACTTTCCTCTGCCCTGTTCGGTGAGCCTAACTAGGAGTTCTTTCTTGTTACTTTTTCCACAAAGCCATAGCTTTGCTTTTTTTTCGTCTTTCCTTCCTCCTCCTTTGCCAGGATCACTTGTCTCTTTAGGGTGAAATTAGCATACCTGTTGTCTTGACTGGCCAGCAAGTTCTCAATTTTCAAGCCATACTCATCATCAGGATGTGATGGTAGCAGAGTATTTTAATGTTTTTCTCCCTTTGATTATATTGAATGCTTTTGAAACGGTGGCACAGGAATGGTTCAGTAGTTAATACCGGTGTGGAAAAGCAGCTTATAAAGGAAGAAGAAACAAAGTGCCCAATAGAATTTGAGGACTCTGAATCTCAGGTTTTTGAGTTTGAAAGTTCATCTGAAGTGTTTTCAGTTTGGCAGGATCGCAATGTAGACAGCAAGAACTCGCTTCACATGGAAGGAAAAAGCTGTATAACTCATGTAGCTGATAGTGCAAACAACAATTTGGGTTCTGGTGCAGACTCTGTGTCTGAAGAGGTTGTTAGAAATGAAACAGAGGGATGTGGAGAAGAACGGGATGCTGAGATGAAGCCATATATACACAGCCAAGAAGAATGGACAGCTGAATTAAAAAACCAACAACAATTTCCAGAATTTAAAATCCTGAATCATGACATGACACTAGTGGAATTCAGGTGTTTCTGGTACATGGACTGCTCTCACCCAATGTGAGGTTGAACTGTTGACCTTGTGTACATCCTACTTCACAAATGAGTCTGTCAGATATGCTAAGCCTATAGGCTGAAGATGATGCCGCAGCATTGTGGAGAAACCTCAGGTGACTGTCCAGGCAGCTGGCTGTTTCTGTCAACTCACAAATTTTTTGGAAGTTGCTTGCATGCACTTTCTGTTTTTATTTTTGTTAGCTAATATTATTTCCTTCTTGGGTCTCTGAGGGAGTTGAAGATTAGTTAGTTATAGTTGAAGGTTAGTTATAGTTGAAGATTAATTAGGATAGAAAGTGAATTAGATACATTTTGGACTTAACAAAATAGGATAGATAATGAAATTATTTTCTCTGAATTTGTCAAATACAAATGGACTAGACATTGTTTAGATATTCATTACTTGTATATATTGTATATAGTTATTGTACTTTTGTATATAGTTTTTCTTTTGTTAGTTATAACCTTTTTCTTTTCCTTTTTATTAAAATAGAAAAGGGGAAATGTGGTGGTATTTTACTTGTACTGAAATGTGATTTTAATTGTATGTTAATAAATAAAGTTGCCTGGGGGTCAGAGCTATTAGAGCTATAGCAAGTGCGTGGCGGCGGTGGCGCACGCCTTTAAGGACCTGGAGGGCGGTACATACAGGCAGTGACGAGGCAGTCACATGTTTGGGTTTACAACCAATGAGAAGGCAGAATAGCTAGAGTATATGAAGACATACACACAGGAAGTACGCCCCCTTTTTTCGGAGAGCTCTCTTGGCTGAAGAGGATCGTTGAATCAGGAAGGGTGAGGCTCTTAGCTCTGACCTCTTGGCTTTCTTCTCTGAATCGGCTCTGTGTTTCTTATTTAATAAGACCGTTGGTTACATCTACATCAGGAAGCTTGAAGATAATATGGCCTGAATTCACAGTGAACTTCTGAACATCGAAGTTGGTGTTGACCAGGCCGCCCTGGTCATAGGCTGGTAATTTTTTTTTCTTCATCAATGAAGCTTCATGATACAGTGACAAACGTCACAAGAGCCTCCCCTTCCCACACTACCCCTTTATTTTCAGTATAATTTGCCCAGGCCTATCTTTGAGAAATTGACAGGTGTTGGCAGTCTTTCATACTCTGGAAGTTCTTTTTTTCCAATGCCATTACAGTAGTCATGGGTGCCTGCCTTCTGCTGGAATGGTGTGGCCTCTCTGGATGTCTCTGCTACACCAACAACCCTCCTCCTCCCCCAGTGGAGGCAGAGAGTGGTGGCAACAGATTGTAGGCACAAAGCAGAAACAAGACCCTGCACATCTATCTGTAGGATGTTATCTTTTACCTCAGCAGACGCCCATCTGATGTGGGGCTGCCCCAGCTTCCAGTTCCCTCAGGTTTTCTTTATAGACAAAAAAATGTGACTTTTGTTTATTTAACTGCTATTGAAAGCATCAAGGAGATAAAGTATATGTGTGTTAACATAATCCTTAATTAGAAAATAATTGATAGCCATTCCCTTTTGTAAATGTTAATTTTAAAATCTAAAATCATCTTGTTCTGGATCCTGTCCTGTCAGAAGGAAGAGCATGCCCTGAAGTCACTAATGGGGTCGGGGTGGGGTTTTATATTCTGTTCTGAATCTGTGCTCTGTTTCTTTAGGTTCCTGATTGTCTACGATGGGTGAACCACAGCAAGTGAGCGCACTTCCCCCACCTCCAATGCAGTACATCAAGGAATATACAGATGAAAATATTCAAGAAGGCTTAGCTCCCAAGCCTCCCCCTCCAATTAAAGACAGTTACATGATGTTTGGCAACCAGTTCCAATGTGATGATCTTATCATTCGCCCTTTGGAAAGTCAGGGCATTGAACGGCTTCATCCTATGCAATTTGATCACAAGAAAGAACTGAGAAAACTCAATATGTCTATACTGATTAATTTCTTGGACCTTTTAGATATCTTAATAAGGAGCCCTGGGAGTATAAAACGAGAAGAGAAGCTAGAAGATCTTAAGCTGCTTTTCGTGCATGTGCATCATCTTATAAACGAATATCGACCCCACCAAGCAAGAGAGACCTTGAGAGTCATGATGGAGGTCCAGAAACGTCAACGTCTTGAAACAGCTGAGAGGTTTCAGAAACACCTGGAACGAGTAATTGAAATGATTCAAAATTGCTTGGCTTCTTTGCCTGATGATTTGCCCCATTCGGAAGCAGGGATGAGAGTTAAAACTGAGCCAATGGACACTGATGATAACAGCAATTGTACTGGACAGAATGAACAACAAAGAGAAAACTCAGGTCACAGGAGGGACCAGATTATAGAAAAAGATGCTGCCTTATGTGTCCTAGTTGATGAAATGAATGAAAGACCGTAAAGAGTATTTCTTTTTTTCTTTTAGTGAGTAGCATCATATATTAGTTTATTTTCTCTTGGGCCGTCTTAAGAGGTATAACTAAAAATATAAAGGGACTTTTTTCAATTGAAATGCTGTACGTGGCAATTTAACAGTAAGCATAGGCAAAGTATATTTGAGTAATGACCATGAAAAAGCAGAATGTTTGCTATTGTATGGGATAGTCCTATTTTTGGAGTTGGAATAAAGATTTGAAGTAATATTGAACTGTTATTCTTGGGGAAAAAAGTTATTTGCTTTAAGACTAATAAAGGCCATCAAACTAAACTGTACATGTGAAATTTTAAAATGTTTAGACTTATTCCAAAACAACACAGGAACTTTATTTTCCTGATGACTGTTCCTGAACACTCAATATCACAGCTCTTTTCCTCCTTATCTTTCATAGAATATTTGTTAGGGGCTCTCCCTCCCCCAAGTCAGGTAATCAGTCTTTGGTGACTAAGTTTATTCATTCATTTTAGTCATTAAGGTATCTATGTGCTAACTATACATTTCTTTTGTTTTTAACTCCCCACCCCCATCTGTCTTTGTGACTGTGAGTGCAGTATCTGCAGAGGCTAAAGGGCTGTTGGCTTCTCTGGAGCTGGAGTGAAGGCGCTTGTAAGCCATTTCTGTGGGTGCTGAAAAGCGAACAGGTCCTGTACAAAAGCAGTACATACTTTGAACCACTGAGCCAACTGTCCAGCCCCTACATTACTCCTTTAGAGCTGATCTCAGCTTAGTCTTAAATCTAGAAGCTTACAGAAAAAAGGTTTAGTAACAGAAACTGCTAAATGTTTACCAAATAGTCTTGTTTTCTTTTGAGATATGTTGCTGAGATGTAGCTGGCCAGCCATGTACCACATTTCCCCAAACAGTGCCATGCAGCTTGTGAGGCCATGTGTCTATGTTCTACTTAAGATGGCAAAAGTTAAGTTTGAGTCTTTGCTTTGAATGACAGTGAGGGGTAGGTCTTTCATCAGCTCTATTTCTTAGCTAATTTGATTTTATGTGAACAAGAGAATTCTTTGGAGAACTGATTTTTATTTTTGCACTCTCTTCTAACTCTTCCCTCTTGAACCAAGGTCTTAAAAGGTAGCTTTGTTATCAAAGGCTGCCTGCCTGTTACTCTCTTAATGTAGGCTAGTGATTTTCAAAATCTAACTGGATCTGTAACATAACTTCTCTTGGGGACCTATTAGAAATTCGAAGTTTCTCATGCCATACCTGAACCAAAAACTCTTGAAATATGAACAAGATGTGATTCTGACATAACCTCAAATTAAAACACATCCATAGATATAATACATTTGGTTTTCCAGGTAACCACTTAAAATTTCTCTCTCGGCCTCTGGTTTGAGCAAAAATATTCTGTCAAGGTTGTATTAGCCCTGGAGCTGGCAGAGCTCAATTTAAAATGGTTATGGTCCAATGCTATGAGAAATGTACATTTTTTGCCTTTATATGAATATACCTCAAGTAGATACTGCTATTGAGCAGCTGTTCTCAGTCTCAACCTTTTTTTTTTTTTCTGGTATGTGTTTGGTAAGATTGTATCTTAGTCACTTAGCCTTTGTAGCACCCTAGAAGGGTCTTGCTTCCAACATAGCCTTGGAAGCTCAGAACACCTTGCCCACATTATCTTTTGCAAACACATATGTTTGTAGCACTGTTCTGATGACAAAGTTATCCACAACTCAACCCATTTTCACTCATATTAAGATGAAGAAGTAGAGGTTCAGAGAGCTTGACTTAACCAAGGTCATACAACTAATATGTGACAAAATCATGATCAGGTTAGAAAATAGGTATTTCATGCCGGGTGGTGGTGGCACACTGTCTTGGGTTTTCTATTGCTATGAAGAGACACCATGACCAGGCAACTTAAAAATGAAAACATTTAATTGGGGTGGTTCACTTACAGTTCAGAGGTTCAGTCCATTATCATAGTGGGACATGACATGCAGGCAGACATGGTGCTGGAGAAGTAGCTGAGAGTCCTACATCTTGCAAGCAATAGGAGTGATCTGAGACACTGGGCAGTATCCTGAGCTTAGGAAACCTCAAAGTGCCCCCTTGCAGTGACACACTTAAACCAACAAGGCCATATGCACTCCAACAAAGCCAGACCTCCTAATAGTGCCACTCCCTATGAGATTATGGGGGCCAATTAACATTCAAACTACCACCTGCACACCTTTAATCCCATCACTCAGGAGGCAGAGGCAGGGGGATCTCTGAGTCTGAGGCCAGCCTGGTACTACCAGGGCAGCCAGGGCTGTTACAAAGAGAAACCTTGTCTTAGAAAACAAAACAAAAAAGGAAGTAGGTGTTCTGTTTTATAGTCAAAGCTCTGAACTTCATTCTCAGTCCTCTAATCTGTCATAATGTTAAATCATGTATGTCAATAGAGCTATTCCAATTTTTAAACCTGAAATCCCTGCTTGGAAATACCACATGACCCTAGACTAAAGAGGAAGCATTTGTAGATTCAAAGAATAGCTTCTTTTGAACATACTAAGACATGATGTGTTGGTTAGGACATCTGTATCTTGAGAAGATGTTGGTGTTTGTATTTAAAAACCCTTCTTGGTAGATAGTGTTCTTAAGACTCATGAAAATTGAAGCTTAAAGTTTATGGTTTGCTTGGGTTGGAATCTATGTGGGGTAAGAAATTGGCAAAGTGGTTTTGTACTGTTCTTTTTACTGCTTCCTTGTTTTCTCCACGTGGTGGCAAACTTTTACTGTAAATCCAGTTTCTAGGCATTGAGGACCATACAATTTCTGTTTCATATACTTGGGTGCTATAGCTTGACAGCAGTCAGACAATAGGTAAATGAAAACACTATGTTCTAATCCAACTTTTATATATGAACAGTAGGAATAAAATACAGATAGTAAAATTTGAATTTCATTTATTCAAGCATTTCATGAAGTATTTTGAGTTTTTGAACCACTTAAACATAAAAGTCTACACTGAGCTGGGGAGGGGGGTTTAAAGTCGGACAGTAGATTCGATTTGGCTAGTGGGCCACAGGGCTTATTTTAAATCCCAAAGTGTTATCACGGAGATACTAATGTAGGGGCAGTAGGATGACTCAGTTCATAAAGGTGCTTGCACAGAATTCTTGTAGAGGGAAAGAATGGGCTCCGAAAGTTGTCCTGTGACTTTTACATACATCACACACACTGATAATAGTAATAAATATACTACAGAAATAAGAATCAAAAAAAAAAAGTTAGGTGATAGTGGTAGATACCTTTAATCCCAGCACTCAGAGGGGAGGTAGAGGCAGGCAAATCTCTGAGTTCAAGACCAGCCTGGTCTACAGAGCGAGTTCCAGGCCAGCTAAGGCTACACGGAGAAACCCTGTCTTGGAAAACAACAACCAAAAAAAAAAAAAAAAAAAAGACAAAATCTTTATATCTACAGTGTAATATACAGTAGTACTTAGAAAACTTTGGATGTCAGCTAATATCCTTCCCACACTTTCTTTTTAAAAGTTTTACTTCGTTTATTTTTTGGTATTTTGAGACAGGGTCTTCCTGTGTAGCCCTGGCTGGCCTGGAACACATGGTAGACAAGACTGGCCTCAACCTTTCAGTGATCCTGCTGCTTCAGCCTCCTGAGTGTTTGCCTTCCAGGCAGATGTCACCACACTCAACTTCTGTTTATGTTTTTCATTTGCAAGTGCTTGGATATATTTATGGGGGAGAATATACTTCCACGCAAGTATAATTTCTCTATTGTTTGTTTTCTTCAAATTAAAGATTTAAGAACTAGCTTCAGACTGTAATGTGATGATTCTACCAATAAGTGGCAGTCTTACTTAAGTGTAAGGCCAGTCTCAGTGAGGGCCAAAATGAAACCTAGAGGCACAGCTTATGAACTGCTGCTCACTTATTCAGAACTGAATTCAGTCTTTACACATCTTGTTGATATCTGTTGACTCAGGATGACTCTTGAAACACACCCATCCTGCAGCTGGAGTAGTAGCTAACACCTGAGACCTCAGATGTGGAGGGTGAAGTGTGTAAGAGGGTGCATTTCCAGACTAAGGTGGCCTGCCTTGCAAGACATTACCTCAAAAAACAAAGTATAGCACACAAAAACAACTCTGAGTTTTAGAATTTGGGCCCTACTACTTGTCAGCTGTGTGTCACTGATTTATTTTATTAGTGTCCTTGGAAGCTCATTTTCATTAACCCAGGTAATCACAGTAGTTATCCCAGAGTATAATGCCGACAGTGAAAGACAGCACTCACCCTAATTCCTTTTGAAACCCATTTGACCCCAAGCAGTAACCCAGGCTTCAGGCAAACTTGGCCTGTGTGCAGAGCATTTGATCTGAAAGGGCTTGTGGGTGCTCCAGAGGCTAGATGGGGCTTGTGCATGGGGCCTGAAGGCAATATTTTTGGGGGTGGGCAACAAAAAAATAGAAGGAAAGCACAAATAATAGAAACAAAAGAGGGGACATTATTATAGGTAGTAATAACAAAAGTTAGACAACTTTATCCTAATGTATTTGAAAATTTAGGGAAAGTGGGTAGATTCTTAGGAAATTATCAGTACTGATAGGAAATCCCAATAGTTCTTTAAGGATTAAGAAAAATGAACCAGAAGTGAAGATCTTAGAAAGAATCCTTCAAGTTCAGATAGCTTCTGTGCCAAATGAGCCTGATAGACATTGCCAGTATAAACAGACCCCAACACGTGCTTGTGTGTATATACACAAAGAATAAAACAGTTTTAATTTTTTTGTAGACTGTCAAGAGGGTAGAAAAGCAAAACATTTCCCAATTCTTATAAAGCTAGTATAAGTAAAATATTAAACCAGTAATACGTTTTTCAAAAAGAACTTTTATGGCCAATTTGCCCTTACCTAAACAATGTGGAATAGAGAATTAATGTAACCTGCCAAATAATGGATTTAGGAAGAAAAACCACTTTTCACAATAAATGTGAAAGGCATCTGTGAAATTTAGTATCCATTGATAAAAAAGAAAAACAACTCACATATCAAGAATAGAAGGAAATTTCCTTAATAAACAGTAGCTCTTAAAAACAAAAACAAAGGGGTTGGGGAGTTAGCTCAGTGGTAGAACGCAATCGCAAGGCCCTGGGTTCGGTCCTCAGCTCTGAAAAAAAAAAGCAAAATAAAACAAAAATGTGTAGTATGTTTTACATTCAAGGTGAAATCCTGAGACCTTTGTTTTGAGAACAGAAATAAAATAAGGATGCCTGCTATCAAAGCTTCAAGTGTGTATTAGATTCCCTAACCAGCAAAGT